TGGGGCTCCACCCCTCACCTGCCTCCCACTGCCTCCAGATCAAAGACTTGTTCATGAAGAAATGCCCTGGAGTGAATTCTCTCTTCATTGATGGCTCCTTCCAGCTGCTCTAGTGAGTGGAGGCCTGAGCTGGCAGCCCTGGGTCAGGAAGGTGGGGCTGGGCTGGGACATTGCCCAGGTTGGGGTGTGGGGGTGTGACTCCTAACAGCAGTGGGTTCACCCAGCCTGGCCACCTGCAGCCCGAAGTCAGGACAAGGCCAATCGATGCTAAGCAGCAGGGTCTTCTGATCACAGCCAGATTCTGGTCGCTAGAGAGTTACCACACACACCGGGGATAGAAATAACGGAACCCCTCCTGCTGGTGGTGGGTTGCGAATGTCTGCCTGGAGTGCCCTGCTGAGAGGGTTTGAGGCTGTGTCTGTGTTTGGTGGGAGAGTGCTGTGATGGATTATTGATGTCTGCCTCGGGCACAGGCTGTACTGCAGGTGGCTACGTCTTTCCTTTCCCTTAGAGCCGGAGAGCAGTGAGGTCCACGCAGCCACAAAATCCCCACTGCACATCACGACTCTCTCTAGCGCAGTGGTTCTCAACCTTCCTAAAGCCGCGATCCTTTCATACAGTTCCTCATGTTGTGGTGACCCCCGATTTCATTGTTACAAATTGAACATAATTAAAGCATAGTGATTAATCACAAAAACAACATGTAATTATGAATGTGTTTTCCGATGGTCTTAGGTGACCCCTGTGAAAGGGTCGTTCGACCCCCAAAGGGGTCGCGACCCACAGGTTGAGAACCGCTGCTCTAGTGGTTCCAAAGGCATCACTTAGGGATCTTGCAGGGCTCAGGCCATTGCACACACAGTGATTGTCAGTTCACCGAGCGTGCTGGGTAACAGGGAACCCACTGTGCATCTTCTGGGTTTCTAGAGCGTACGGGGTGTCTTGGCACCGTGGAGGGCTTAGGGCCTGTCTCCCCCTCAGGGCCTCATTGCCCCCTCCTCCCCCGGCCCCTCCCGTGGTCTCTGCTGCCTGCAGCTTCATCTACTCCGTGCTGGTGATTGTCTCAGCGGCCCTCTACCTGGCAGGGATCGAGGCGTACCTGGCGGTCATGGTCTTCGCCTTGGTCCTGGGCTGGATGAACGCCCTTTACTTCACGCGTGGGCTGAAGCTCACAGGGACTTACAGCATCATGATCCAGAAGGTACGGAGTGGGGGACCCGCGGAGCTGCGTGCCCTGGAGGGAGCCCCCACACCAGGTACTCATCTCACATGTGTGGACAATGCCCGTGGGCCTGATGTGGGCATGTGGGGGCAGCAGGCAGGACCTGGGCGCCGGGAGGGCCTGGGAGCGTTGGAAAGGGGATTTGGGATGGAGACACTGGGAAAGCGAGAAGCCGTGTGTCTCACCTTCGCCTCCGTCATCCCGCTGTGTCTGTAGATCCTCTTCAAAGACCTGTTCCGCTTCCTGCTGGTCTACTTGCTCTTCATGATCGGCTACGCGTCAGGTGAGCTCTGGGCGCCCAGGGGCTGCGGGGTGGCGTGATGTGTGGGGAAGATTAGCAGGGTGTGGAGTTCTCACTGGTGCCAGGCGCTGGGCTAAGTTCTTCCCCATCCCCGTCTCTCTCTCTTTTTTTTTTATATTTTATTCATTTTTCATAGAGAGGAAGGGAGAGAGATAGAGAGAAACATCGATGAGAGAGAAACACCGATCAGCTGCCTCCTGCACATCCCCCACCGGGGATATGCCCGCAACCAAAGCACATGCCCTCAACCGGAACCGAACCCAGGACCCTCCAGTCTGCAGGCCGATGCTCTATCCACTGAGCCAAACCGGCTTCGGCCATCCCCGTCTCTTAATTCTCCCGGCAAGTCTGTAAGACAACAAGCCTTCGCCGTCTCCTTTCGCAGATGAGGAATCAGGCTGGGAACGGTTAAATAAATTGCCCAGGTTCAAAAGCTAGGAAACGGTGCAACTGGCATGTTAACTATTATTGCAAAAGAAGCCACATAAAATGCAGTGTCTTAAGACAGCTGCCATGCATTTACTGTTCGGGAGTCCAGCTCAGCGAGGTGTGTGCTGGCCGGGACCGATCTGGCTAGTCTTCCAGGCCCCGTGTCTGGGCTCCGTGGGTGGTTGGCTGGTCTGCCTGGCCTGGCCAGATGGCCTCAGTGGGGGCGACTTTGTTCTCCCCTGTGGTCACTCCCCTCCAGCCGGCTCGATGGGGCTCGGGCACAGGGTGGTCTATAGGGTCTCAGAACGTGAGCCGAAGTGTTCAAGGTCACTTCCTGGCACGGCATCACTTCTGCCTCCCTCTATTGGCCAAAGCAAGACTGAAAGTGGCCTCGGCTCAGAGGCGGGGAAATAGACCAGACCTCGCCACAGAAGGAGCTGCAAGCCACAGTGAAGGGGCGTGGCTACAGGAGAGAGAGAGAAACATCAATGATGAGAGAATCATTGATTGGCTGCCTCCTGCACGCCCCCTCCTGGGGATGGAGCCCACAATCCAGGCACGTGCCCTGACCGGGAATCGAACCCCGACCTCCTGGTTCATAGGTCAGTGCTCAACCACTGAGCCACGTGGGTCAGGCAGCCCAGGTCCTTTTTAAAGCTCAATACTGGCCCCTTGAGTATGGCTTCTCCGTGACGTCTTGATGCCGCGGGACCTCGGGGGCACAGGCTGTGGGGGAAGGACCGGGAACGGGGAACAGACCGAGCCTGGCTGGTCCCTAGCGGGTGGGTGATCGCCCAGTCGATGCTCAGCGTCCAGACGCGAGTGGCCGACTCAGGCGTCGCCTGTCACACTCCACCTGAGGAGGCTGGTCGGGGACCAGCCCTGGAGCAGGACCTGATGGCAGTGATATTTTAACCAGATGGTGGGTGATTCCGGGGAACCAGAACTGCAGCCTTAGCTGGGGAGAGAGGGACCGGCTACAGCTGCCCCCTCCCGGTGATGGACTTAGAGGAACTAGACAGAGTGTCGGGTTCCACAGTGGTTTGGGATTCGAGTCAAGCCCAGCCCTCCTGCAGTCCTGACTATAGAAACTGAGGCAGAAGCTTCGTGGTTGAAGTGGCAGCTGAGGGGTCAGCTTGCTGCCGGGGCTTCTGCTGTGGGACATGAGCTCCCTGGTCTGCGATTGACATGACACAAACATGACGCGTGCTCTTGTTCCACGTTTGTGCCCGTGACAGACATGGCCAGTGGGTCACAGAACGGTTTTTCTGATGCGTCCAGACAAGATTCCAGAATCCTTCTCAACACACATTTCAGCAGCCACTACACAACTGAGTGGCGTTGGCAGGAGCTGTAATCCCAGGTGGAAGGCACTAGGGCAGTGATGGCGAACCTATGACACACGTGTCAGAGATGACACGAGAACTCATTTTTTTGGTTGATTTTTCTTTGTTAAATGGCATTTAAATATATAAAATAAATATCAAAAATATAAGTCTTCGTTTTACTATGGTTGCAAAGATCAAAAAATTTCTCGATGTGACATGGCACCAGAGTTCAGTTAGGGTTTTTCAAAATGCTGACACGCCGAGCTCAAAAGGTTCGCCGTCACTGGCCTAGGGCGTTGAGCGGAAAGTAGAAGAGGGGCCTCTCCCGCATGCTCCCTGCCCCGGGGGTCAGGGCGGTTGTTGCTGCTCAGCTGTGTTGAGAAGGATCTGAAGCTGCATCTGGGCTGAGGTGTCTGAGGGGTGAGGGCCTTAGCGAGCGAGGCTTCTGGGCTGTCGGCACTGACGCCGGTTTCGGCTCTGGCCCTTCCTCCGTAAGCAGAGAGAGCGTCTGCCCGGAGCTCGGGTCCCAGGCTCCCGGGACCTGCGGGAACGCCGGGCGGGAGCAGGGCTTCTCAGCCTCCGCACGTGTGGCTTTTGGGGCTGGGTGATCCTCCTGTGGGCTGTCCTGTGCGTGGGGTGTTTGTCAGCATCCCTGGCCTCTGCCGGGTGCACACCAGCAGCACTCCGTCCGCTGTGCAACCAAACACAGCTCAGGACACTGCAGCTGTCCCGGGGGGCGGGGGTGTCACCCTCTCAGGTCATTGCAGACACCCTGGGGGGTGGGTCACCCTCTCAGGTCATTGCAGATGCCAGGGGGGCGGGGTCGCCCTCTCAGGACATTGCAGATGCCAGGGGGGCGGGGTCGCCCTCTCAGGACATTGCAGATGCCAGGGGGGCGGGGTCGCCCTCTCAGG